AATGCTTCAAAGGTTCTTCCCTAGCGATGTTCATGGCCATTGCAGCTGTAAGCCCAGTGCAGACACTGTACCCCCCTCTCTGAGCAGATGGTGTCACCCCCTCCAGCCCCAGGTCCCTAACCCAGCCTGTTTGCCTCTCCAGAAGCGTTGGGTTGCTGTCCTTTCCCAGGAGTATCCAACACTGGCTTTCCACGCCAGCCTCACAAACCCTTTTGGCAAAGGTGCTTTCATACAGCTTCTAAGGCAGTTTGGAAAGGTACAGAACAATTCTGGGGATCTGTATGGTTGGGGTGGGGGAGTTAGTGTGTGGTGTTTTGCTTTGTTAGGGTTTGGGGCTCAGTGCTGCAGTGTGTACAAGGATGTGTTATTTCTCACCAGTTACACTCTGACAAGAAGCAGATCAGCGTGGGGTTCATTGGTTACCCCAATGTTGGCAAGAGCTCAGTGATCAATACCCTACGATCCAAGAAGGTCTGCAATGTGGCCCCCATTGCAGGGGAAACAAAGGTAAGAACATCCCTGTGTTACAGAAACAAATAAGCTCGTGCTCGAAGGCAGAATTGGTGTGAAATCAGCCCGATGACATTGGCAAGTCCAGCACTGAGCTGCACGGGCTGTGTGGCCCAAGGAGTGGCTGATGGGCAGTCCCTTCTCTGAGGCACTGCTCTGGCAGCATTCCCAGGTTCCCACTGTGCCACTCTGCAGTGGTGGGAGTGCTCCATGTCTGTGCTCTCCTGAACCAGGCGCTGGCTCAGGCTCTGTCAGTGCCGGTTCTGTGACTCGTCCTCACAAACAGGACAGTAACCAAGCGCTGAAGAGCAGCTGCTGCCCTGTTCCAGGTGTGGCAGTGCCCTGTTCCAGGTGTGGCAGTGCCCTGTTCCAGGTGTGGCAATGCTCTGTTCCAGGTGTGGCAGTACATCACCCTGATGCGGCGCATCTTCCTCATCGACTGCCCCGGGGTGGTTTATCCCTCGGGAGACACGGAGACAGACATCGTGCTGAAGGGAGTGGTAGGTGTCTGCACGGGGGGCTGGGGAGCTTTGCTGTTGTCCGTGGGGTGGGCTCAGAGGGATGGATACACACTTCCAAAGGGCTGATCCTCTACCCTGTGTTTTCAGGTTCAAGTTGAAAAGATTAAGAGCCCCGAAGACCATATTAGTGCTGTGCTGGAAAGGGCCAAAGCAGAGTACATCAGGAAGACATACAAAATTGATTCCTGGAAGGATACAGAAGACTTCCTTGAGAAACTTGCTGCTAGGACTGGAAAACTGCTAAAGGTGTGACAGCTTCCTGCATTTGCAGGCTGGAGAGCGTGGGGCCTGTTACTGAACATGGGAGATGGGAACGTTTCTGTTGCTTACAAGGCTTAGGAAGGCGCTGTGCCCTGCAAATGTGGGCAGAGATTGTTCCTGGTTCTTTCAGGGTGGTGAGCCTGACTTGCAGACTGTGAGCAAGATGGTTCTCAATGACTGGCAGAGGGGCAGAATCCCATTCTTTGTGAAGCCACCGAATGCAGAACCAGGTGAACCAGGTTCCCAGGTGAGAATGTGAAGCTCATGCCTTCTCTTCTACATATTATTTGATTTTCTTAATGGCATTCACTGCTGCTTTTCCCAGAGTGCCATGAGACTTGGGCAGTGACTGGGCTCTGCCCAAGCCTGGTCACTCAGGTGACACTTGAAGTCAGTGAGGACCAGGTTTGTGCTGTGCTCTTTACAGAGATATCTGAGCCACTGCTGACTACCAGAAATGTCAGTGATTATCACATTGTCATCGGAGGCTTTTTCCAAAGAGAAAAAATAGAAGTTGGAGATGATGGGACAGACTTTGTGGATAATATATCCATGACACTCTTCCTTGCAGCCTCCTGCATTGGAAGCAGCTGTGACCTCAAGCCAAGATAATACTGAGGAGAAAGTCTCTGAGTCAATGGCATCAGGTGTGGAGCCAGAAGAGAGGAACAACCCAGACACTGAAATCAGGCAGCTCATGTCCCACGTTCGGCAGAACTTCGGCAGGATTAATGTGGCACCTCAGTTCTCGGAAGAAGACCTGGTTCCTGTGGATGTGCCAGGCTTTGATGAGACAGACAGTGATTCCTGTGGGGAGGAAGAGCAGGAGGAGGAGAAGGAGGAGAATGAGCAACAGCAGGATGCAGGAGAGGAGGAATCGCAGGTGGCTGCACCGGGTGCCAGGGAGAGTTCTAAAGCAGTTCTTAAGGCTCTGGAGGACAAGATTGCAAAATACAAAAAATTCCTGGATAAAGCCAAAGCCAAGAGGTTCTCAGCAATAAGGTACCTGAATCTGACCAATGTTTTGCAGGGGAGGAAAGGGTTGATGTGACTCTGCTGTAGTTCCATTCCATGCCTGACTTGCTTGACAGTTCCCCTGTGCTGCCTCACACAAGCCACAGTTTGTCTGGTTTAGCCATAAGGGTTGGAAATTTGGCCAAGCAGCAGTTTGTTTTTGAAAGGTTATTCCAAGAAGTGCTATTTACCAGTATAATTAAAAATGTTCTCACTTTTGAAAATTGCCTCTTAAGCTATGGGTTAGAAATCTCTTGGTATTCTGAGCAGCAAAATTGTATCCTTGGATCTCTCCTTGATGTTGGGTTATACCAAGGCTGATTCCTACCTCGATATGCCAGGTGGGTCCCTGTGCACATGCAGAGTATCCTGGCCCATAGAGCAAGCTCAGTTTTAGCAAAGCTCACTCACCAGCCCTGTGAGGACGGAGATTTCAAGGTTAAGGGTTATATTTTGTCTCTTGTGCAGCACACAAGCCCAGTAACTCCAGAGACAAGAGTACTGCAATATGTTTTTTAGGTGCAAAGACTGTGGCTTTGGTGCTGACGGGGGACTGGGGTCTGCTGGAGACCGGTGGCTTCTTGGTTTGTGTTACAACAACCTTTTATTGCTGATTTTATCTTCTGTAGAATCCCTAAGGGACTGAGTGACAAAGTGTTTGCAAAATCCATGCAGAAGGCTGAAGAATCCAAAGAAACTGAAGACAGAGGTAAAACAAGATTAGTTAATGTTCTTAATCCGTGTTGGGAAATCCTGTGAACCAGAGAAGAAAGGGAGTTAGGGGGAGAAGCATCCACTGGCTCCAGCATCCAAGTTCTTTTCCCCTGAAGCTGCTTAAATGTCCCTTTAGCTGACCCCAGAGCTGCTGCTGACCTGCTATAGCCTCGGTGTAGAACACCTGTCTGTGTGATGGGAGATGTCCCTGTGGGTGAGGGAAGGTCCAGAGAAGGCAAATGTTGTGTTCCCAACAGCCTGGGCTCCAGGCTGCAGCCAGAGCAGCTCCCTCTCCCTGGGGTGTTACACAAGAGGGAGTGAGGGGGGTAGGGACGTTATAAAAGCACAGAGATACTTCAGTCTGTAGGTTTTACTGTGGCTTCAGTTGCCATAGGCAATTTGATTAAAGGCACAGTCAGTGGGAGAGCCCCATTCTGAAAGGACTGTGGCAGTCTCCTGGGCTTACTTGAGGCTGGAAGCAATCTGCTTCCTGAGAGCAGCTTTCATAGTAATAGCTACTGAATCTCTGGTGAGGAGCATGCACGTTGTTTGGGTAGAAGCTGTTAAATAAGGCCAAAAGAATGCATTGCTCAAGGAGTTGGGATGGTGACCCCAGTCTGAAGTTCTGCAAACAAATGGGTGTTCTGGAAGATACCCAACTGTGTGATTTCTGCTGGTTGCAGGCAGCACAGAGAAGAAAAGAAAGAGGAAAGCAGAAGAGGGAGGTGATGATGATGACCAGTTGGGTGAACAGCCTTGCAAGAAACTCACATCCAAAGAAGTAAGTGTGATTTCTTGCAGTACAGCTGAGCAGGGAAATAGAGTGGCTTTTTTATCCATGGATTGCCCATTACCACTAAAGAGCTTTGAGATTCAGCCTGAGCAGGAGGGGAGTGAAGACTGAATTCTGTTATGAATGTCCTGTCACAACTTATGTCACAGCCCTCTTACCTGACTCTGCACACTAGGTTGCTTCTTTTACTACTCATGTAAAGATTGAAGCATAGCTTTCTTCTTTAAGAGCATAGGTGGGTGGGTTCCCTATAGGTTCTCATCAGTAACATTTTGTTGGAAATTATTTATTTTACTTAAGGCGTGTGGAATGTGAACACCATTGGAGAGTGGCAGACATTGAGGCTATGGATGCTGGGGATTTGCTAATGTGTTTTGTCTGTGTTTGCAGAGGAGACGAGCCGAGAGGCAGCAGCGCTCCAAGAAAGTTGGAGTCCGGTATTATGAAACTCACAACGTGAAAAATAAGAATAAGAACAAGAAAAAAACTGGCTTGGAGGAACAAAGATCAAAGCACAAAAAATACAAACATAAGCAATAGCTGCTTATTCTATTAAATTTTACATAAAACAGTTCTAGTATGCGGTGGCTTTTTTTACTATAAAACTTGCAGTTCCCGTTCAAAGCCCAGTGTGACCGGTCTGTCCTGGCCCCAGGAGCAGCATCTCCCTCTTTGTTTCTGCATCATCTGAAAGTTCTTTGTGCAGTTGGAGCTGATGGTATTTCCACATCTCCATCCCAGGCCAGCAAATCCTGCACTGGCCAAACAGCTCCTCCAGTGTTGCTCAGTGGTGGGTTTTGGGTGGGTTTTTTTCTGGAAACCGGCTTTCTGGGTTTTTCACATGACTGCAGGGAATTCTCTTTCCCATGTCTGCTTGCTGTGGAACCAGCTGCTTACACAGGTACCTCAAGTCAAGATTTCATTTGCTTCCACTGAAAAGTGAATCCATGACTGGCATGGTGTCCCTTTGTCTCACTAGAAACCATCGGCGAGTGCTTCACTTACCACTGACAGGGATTTCCAGGTACAATCGACACCAGTTTGCAGGTACTCAAGGAATACCCCAGACACCTAAGAATCATCTGCTATTCGTTTCTTGGTGCATGGGACTTGCAATTCTTGTAGACACCTTTATATTGTTTCTGAATTTTCTACAACATTTTCAAATTAATAATATCAGAGAGATGTTTGCATTTAAAAATGTTTATTAGGTTTTACTTTGAAGGTCATTAGCACATTACCAACAGGCAAGTCCCAGACACTGCTCAAAGAGCTGACTGCTGAGATGGCACTGAAAGAGGGAGCAGTAATTAATGAAGCTCTTGAATTTCAACTCTTCAAGAGAAAGAAAGAAAGAACACAGTAATGCTGCCTTCAGTTACTGGTAAGTGAAAACTCAAGATCGTTGTAGGAAGACAATTCTTTGTCACTAATTGCAAGCTTCTTGCTCTGACAGCTTTTCTGAGCCTGCCTCGAGGACAACAAAACAATTAGTTCTTTGCTGCAATGATGCTTTCAAGTTGTGTCTGAAAAACAAATGAGACAGTGAGGCAAATTAGATTCAACCTAAGAAATAAACCTGCAGTGCTGAGGGACTAAACTGTTGGATGTTCACATCGAGGAACTGAGGGATCCTGCACTGCTGCCAGGAGAGCCAGGCCAGGTTTGTTCCCCAGCCATTCCATTCCTTACTACATGTTTTATAAATTAGCTTGTCGTTCCTGGCATGCCCAGTTGTTGCATTCTGAGGAGAACAGAGCTGGCCTTGGCTCTGTGCACTGAGACACTCAGCTTAGAATGTAAAGCATCAAGGGGGAAATTAAATAAAAGCTGTTGAAACAGTGGTCTGAATTCTCTGATTTCAGGTTGGACTATGTGAGCTAAATTAAATATTTGGCTCTGTAGCATTTGGAACACAAACTGACTCTGGGAGTAAAGGAGCTGGGAACAGCAAGTTTTGTGATTACTGAGACAACTTGACGCCCAGTTAGTGGATTTTTTACTGACCTTCAGCTGCTGGTTTGTCCGTTTGAGGAACAGAACCTCCTCGTTGTGTTTCTTCTCCTCTATCTCTCGCCGTTCTACTTCTTGTTGTTCAATAGCCTCACATTTGGCTTTCTCCTCACTCACTTGCTTTTCCAGCTCCCTCCTTTCCTCTTCCAGCTCTGCAATCTTGGGAAAGAGCACGGATCTCTCAAGTTTTGTTGATGAATAGTCAATTTTCAGTTAAAAGTGGTGTGTGGTACAGTCTCTAAAGCATTTCAGATACAACAGAACCAGGCTTCAGGAGCGCAGCAGAGCCCGAGGACTGCGAGCCGGGCGTTTTGATGGTCTTTGCTGCCATCCCGCGGCAGCACCCCCGACTCACCCGTTTCTCCATGAGGGCCTTGCCCTGCTCTGCCTGCAGCGCCTTGCGCACGCCGAAGGCCACGCTGCTCTCGTACAGCGCCTGGTAGGCGGCCAGGGTGAGCTGCAGCTCGTCCCGCACCCGCAGCAGCAGCAGCCCCCGCTCCGCGCAGCTCACCGTCGTCTGCCGGATCAGCTCGTCTGCAAGGGAGGCACAGCACCTGCAGCACGATCTCTGGGAGTGCTGCACACACACAGGGCCCCTCTGACCGTTCTCTGCTCCACAGGAACAGCAGATAAAAGAGTGATGGTGCAGCCCCTCAAGCAACAGCAGTGGTGCTGATCCCCTAAAGCTGTAACAGGGAACACCTAAGAACGTGTAATGACTTTTTGCAGTTACAGGGAAGCCTCTAGGGGATCCTGCTCCAACCCATGGCCACCCCTTGCATTTGGAAGACCAGCGTCGTGTGCTGTCAGTGTGTGAGTTAGACAGGCTTCTGAGCTATTTTAAATGAACTGTTGGGTAAGTACAACTAAAAGGATTTTGAGCTGTTCTGCACGTGTCAGCACGTGTTGCCAGCCCTGTCCTTGGCGTGTCAGCGGTGGGAGGAGCACTGACCGAAGCACTGTGTGTAGAGCTCCCTGCGCACGGGGCACAGCCCGGTCTCCCGCGCCTGCCGCTGCTGCAGCTGCCGGTCCAGCTGCTCCTGCAGCTGCACGACGTCCCGGCGGGTGCTGGGCGCGGTGGACACCTCCTGTACCCAGAGCTTCTGCGCCTCCTCCCACTCCCTGCCAGAGAAGCAGAAGCGTTATGGGCCGCCCCGGGGCCCGCCGGGCCGCCTGCGGCCGGCCCGGCCCGCTCACGTCGCGGCGGCAGGAGGGTTTCAGACTCCTGACGGGTGCTTCGGGGGAGGGGCTGAACGCGCCCGGGTGTCCGGGGCGGCGGCGAGGGGGTCGTCTTCGCCGAGGGCCTGCCGGGGGCCGGAGAGGAGAGCGCGGTAGGAGCGGCGGGGGGACGCGGCGCCCTCGGCCCGCTCGCCGCGGCAGAGCGCGTGTTCCTCGTGCCCCTGTCCCCGCTCACCACCCGCGGAGGCCCTGTCGCCCGCCGGCTGATCAGCTGTGTGGGCAGTAAGGTCGCAGCAGCGACTCCGGCGGGGCGCCCAATGGCGGCCAAGGGTGCTGTTGCCGTGGCGACGCGCGACGCCGCCGCCCCGCGCAGCCGCAGCAGCGCTCAGGCGGCGGAAGTGGCGCGAGGCCGGAAGTGGCCGCACTTCGTTCGGCACGGCCCCATGGAGGCGGGGGGGGAGCGGGCGGCGGAGCGGCGGCGAGGGACGCGGCCCGTGAAGGCCGACGGCGCAGCCCCCCGGGGAGCCCGTCGCCGCCGAGCGAGGAGCGGGGCGGGGGCAAGCCGCGGCAGCAGGTAGGGAGGCCCGGCTGCTCGGCCCCCGCGCACGGCCCGCGGCCCCGCCGCTCACCCCCCCTCCGTTGTTTTCCAGGTCCGCCCCCGGCGGAGGAAAGCCCGGTCGGAGCGGAAAGGAGCCGCCTCGCCCCGCGGCAGGAGGGAGCCGCAGCCGCAGCCCGTACCACGGCACCGTGAGGGTGAAGCAGGTAAAGGGTGCTGTCGGTGCGGCGCTGGCCCGGTGGCTGTTCCCGGTAGACTCGACCGTGCCCGGGCACGGGAGGCGCCTCCTCATTCGGCAGTTCGGTTCTGCGGCCCCTGCAGCCCGTCCCTGAGCGGAGGGGGGTCTGGACGGGTCTGCCCACCCCAGGCCGTGCCAGCGGTGACCGGAGCACCCGTGCGAGCCCAGCCTGTGCCGCGGCACGGACGTCCCTGGCAGCTGCTCTCTGAGCCCAGAGCTGGCGATACCGCCTGTTTCTTGTGCTTCAGTCGGTGCAAATTGTGGGAACGGGAGTCGTTTGGGCAGGAGATCCGTTTGTCTGGCGCTGTATCAGACCTGGACACGCCTGCCCCAGAGCGTGCTGTCGGTGTGTGGGGTTGGGGTTTCGCTCGGACCCAGAGCCTGTCCCTGTGCCCTGCAGGAGCGGGACGAGCACGGCCGCAGGGGCAACGAGGAGCGCAAGCCCAGGCACTCGTCAGAGCAGGAGCAGCGGCGGGACCGGAGCGGGGACCGGGACCGGCACAGGGACCACTCGGAGCGCAGGAAGAACCTGGGGGCTCGAGGCCACGAGCGGGACGCGCAGACCCTGCGGGAGCAGCAGGCGGAGAGGGAGCTCTACAACGAGAGGCGGCGGGAGCACCGGCAGGGCAGCGCCGAGCACAACCCCGAGCTGCGGCCGCCCGAGGGCAAACCCAAGGAGAAGGCGGCCGCCAACAAGGAGAAGCCGAGCTTCGAGCTGTCGGGGGCGCTGCTGGAGGACACCAACACGTTCCGGGGGGTGGTGATCAAGTACAGCGAGCCCCCCGAGGCGCGCGTGCCCAAGACGCGCTGGCGCCTGTACCCCTTCAAGAACGACGAGTTCCTGCCCGTGATGTACATCCACCGGCAGAGCGCCTACCTGCTGGGCCGGCACCGCCGCATCGCCGACATCCCCATCGACCACCCCTCCTGCTCCAAGCAGCACGCCGTCTTCCAGTACCGGTGAGCCCCTGGGAGGGATGAAGCACAGACCAAACCCTCTGCAGTGCACGGCTGTCGGTCTGTGTGAGGGCCAGGCAGTGGAAGGGTTTAGGGGAATTTGTTTTCCAAACGTGGGGACGCTCAACATACCAACACGAGTCTGCACTTGGCCTGAGGAAGAGACACACTCCCTGTTCTTCTCAGGGCTTTTGTCACCCCTGGCCCCCCCACTCCCCTGTGGGGCCTTCAGACATGTCTGCAAGAACTCATCTCTCATACCTGGGAGTCAGCTCCTCTGGAATGCAGGAGGAGAAAACATTTAAAACTGTCTCTGGGAAAGATGCCTTTTTCCAGGCAGGAAAGCTTCCTTAAGCGAAAAACTCAAATCTCTTCATAGTAAAATTTCCAGAAGGGTCTTCTACGCTTACATTACTTTAGAAATTAAATTTCTGTGTGACTGCCATGGGTTCTCCCAGCAGTGACCCAAAGATACCTTTAATTCCTCTTATTTAGCCACAAGTAGAAAAATGACACGGTGGGGTTAGACACAGGGTAGGGTGTGAACCCGGGTTGGAATCACACTAGGTGTGATTGGCAGTGAAAGCATTTCAAGGAGAGGTTTGTTGCTTTGCTCTCTCGCTCTGACTCAGCAGGGGGGTGCTGCTGCTGCCAGCAGCAGTGCTCTCTTGGGGAACATTATCTCTCCCAGTGCAAGAGTTGCTGTGTGAAATCACCAGAGGCTTAGGGGATGCTGCAGCCTCTCAGAACCTGCTCTGCCACACACAGTTTCTCATTGCTCTCCTCGGCCTGTTCTGCTCTCTGCAGAAACCCACTCGCTCGTGGAGCACGATTTCTGTCTCACCTGCCTTTGGGGCATGTTCTCTGTGCCTCTCTTGTGACTGAGTGTTTGTGTTTTGCAGGCTGGTGGAGTACACCCGAGCTGATGGCACCGTGGGCCGCAGGGTGAGGCCCTACATCATCGACCTGGGCTCGGGGAACGGCACCTTCCTCAACAACCAGCGCATCGAGCCCCAGCGCTACTACGAACTGAAGGAGAAGGACGTGCTCAAGTTCGGGTTCAGCAGCAGGGAGTACGTCCTGCTCCACGAATCCTCAGATAAGTCTGAGGCCAATGCAAAGGACGATGATGAGGATGAGGAAAAGGAAGAAGAGTCTGACAGTTAACAGATGAGGAGGAAGTTGGAGAAGGGCAGAGGAGAGAAACTCTTTGCAGTTGAACGGGATGACCACGGAGCATCACAGCACTGATGCCTCTTGTTGCCTTAAAGTCCTTTTTCTGTTGCTGGTCTGTTCTCACAGTTTGTTTTGGGGGACTTTGCTGATTATTCATCTTTTATAGGTTTTGCATATCAGGAAATACAGCTTTACTTTCATTTTATTTGTCTCCCAACAAGCAGAAGAGCACCTGGACATGAAAGCACTGGTGCTGGAAACCCTGCACACACAGTGCCAGCAAACCATGTCAAACACAGATGACATCTGGAAAATTATTTTTATGACCTGTTTTGTTATAGCCCTTTGAAAATCCTACAGACTGAAATGTTAGTTAGAGAGTCCCTGATGCACGTCCCGTTCAGTAGTTTGCCAAATTCTTCTGCCTGTTGGAAGTTCTGACAGGAGAATTTATCCAGGTCACTGCTGAAAGGGCAGAAATGTGGCAAAGCCCCTCCTGTATTTGTATGTTTTGGGTATTTAATTTGCCTCATGGTGACTGAGGGAGGGCATTTCACTGGATTTTTGCCTGGAAATCACAAGGGAATGTGAAACAGAATTTAAACACTTCCTGGGATTTCAGGTGACTAGGCTGTGACGGGGGCTGAGGGCAGGGTCTGCCCACATGTTCCCACATTCGATGCTGACGCTGTCCTTGAATGTGGAGTGTCTGGGTCAAAAGCTGGAGCTGTTATTTCTGATCCCACCCTGCCACAGCGTTTGTTTGTCACACGGAAACTCCTTCGATGTGGTGACACGTTTGAACCAGAGTTTGCACTATTTAAGTTCTCTTTTTATAAAAAACTTACCTTAGTTCCTTGTTTAACTCAGTCTCCCCCTGTAAAGAAATCGCGTTTAGGAAGAGAAGCACCAATCCCACTCACTGGGGGTTGCATAGTCTTTGCTGTCTCCTCCCCGTGGCTTTATGTTAAATGTGTATTTCCCACACTTCGCGGGGTGTTTGTGGCCGCACCTGTTTGTTGGTCCCTGCCGTGTACGGACTGTCCGCCGGCCGTTCTCGTACCCGCGGCTGGAAACACTGACGGTGTAAATACGGGGCATTGCCGTGGGGTTTCGGACGGGGGTTTGAGCAGGAGGAGCTCCTTTGTATCTACTCCAGGAGGTTTTTAAATAAAGGCTTTGTAAATCCCCCGGGTGTCCCCGTGTCGCGGTGTCCCCAGTGCCGGTGGTGTCCCTGTGCCGGTGGTGTCCCCGGGCCGCTGTCCCCGGGCCGCTGTCCCCGGGCCGCTGTCCCCATGCCGGTGGTGTCCCCGTGCCGCTGTCCCCGTGCGGGTGCGTCCCCATGCCCGTGATGTCCCATGCCCGTGGTGTCCCCGTGCCGGGTGTTCCGGCCATGCCGGTGGTGTCCCATGCCGGTGGTGTCCCCGTCCGCTGCCGTCCGTGCCGTCCCATTGCCGCTGTTGTCCCCGTGCCGCTGTCCCCGTGCCGCTGCCGTGTGTCCCAGTGCCGGTGGTGTCCCCATCCCGGTGCTGTCCCAGTCGCCGGTGTGTCCCCAGTGCCCCCATCCGTGCTGTCCCCGCGCCGCTGTCCCCGGGTGGGCTGGGCTGGCTCGGGGGTCCCGCCCCGCGGTGCCGCCGCCGCCCCCGCGCGGCCGCTGCCGGTATCCGCGCGCCCGCCCGCGCAGGCCGCGCCGCATGGCCGCGCTGCACGCCAAGGCCGGCGGGCCCCCGCAGATCCCGGACACCCGCCGGGAGCTCGCCGAGCTGGTGAAGCGCAAGCAGGAGCTGGCGTGAGCGCCGGGAGGGGCTCGGGGCGGTCCGGGGGGCGGCCCGGGGCGGGGGGGCGGCGGCGGCGGCGCGGCCGGGCCTGCTCCATGCGCGCGGGTGTTCCGGCAGGAGACCGCTGGCAAACCTGGAGCGGCAGATCTTACGCCTTCGAGGGCAGCTACTGGAGGACACGCAGATGTACGGGAACATCATCCGCGGCTGGGATCGGTACTCACCAACCAGAAGTGAGTGGCGGAGGCTCTGCCCGCCCGCCCGGCCCCCCCGCCGGCCCGGCCCCGCCATCCCGCCTGTCTCTGTTTCAGGAACTCCAACAGCAAAAACGACCGGAGGAACCGCAAGTTCAAGGAGGCCGAGAGGCTCTTCAGCAAGTCCTCGGTCACCTCGGCAGCGGTGAGTGCCGGGATGGGCACCGGCAGGACGAGCAGATGCTCCTGACCCCACGACCGTCCCTGTCCCCATCCCCGCCCCCATCCTTATCCCCATTTATGTCCTAATCCCCATCTTCATCCCCTTTCCTGTTTTAATCCCTGTTTCCTTCCCTGTCCCCATCTCTGTCCCCATCCCTGTCCCTTGGTGCCCCGGTCCTGCCATGCTCCCCTGTGCTGCTGCAGAGCCACTTTTCCATTGGAACTCTTGCACCTGCCCTGTCTCCCTGACCTGAGCACCTCCATCCCACCCCACAGCCTCTTCCAGAGCCCCTTTCCTGGATGTCCAGGGAGTGGGAGGGCAGT